GAAAAGATTAATAGAGAAGCACACCATTTTCTGTGCCCACACTATTATAAGGTAAGAGATAAAAGGGGCTGGGGTGTTCTGACCAATGAGGTGAAAAGTACTGGGCTGGCCCTCCCTAAAGGCAGTGTGAGGCAAGACTCTCAGATAGCTGATTCCCTCCTCACCCCCACAATTTGTTATTGAGTTTAGGCAATTAATACAAGGCAGACAATGGAAGATTTTACATAATGTAACATCAGACAGCTGGTTTCAGGTGTCAGGAGTAGCAGCAAGTTGCCAGTCCTTTTATTTATTCTTGGTGTATTTTTACTACAGGGTGGGGGGGAGGTCAGGGGGGAAACTGGTCCTTGTGAGATTTTCAGCCAATATAACTTGACTGGTACGATTATTATCATCCACTATGACTGGGAGGGGAGTGCCATTCTGCAGCAAGCTGCCTTGGGCTGGCCAGAGAGGAAATGAAGCCGGAATATAATTATTTATTACGTTTGTTTAGTCACTTGCCACCTAAGGAGGCTCCAAGCAGGAGAAATGGTTTTGAGGAGATATGGAGGGTGTTTGTAGAATTTGTACTGTTAAAACGGAAAGGGGTCAGACCATCGCAAGAGGTGTTGAAATTCTGGGAGGTTGCAATGGAATGGTCTTGGTGGTGGGGTGCACATTTTTATTCTTATTTATTTATTATTATTACTTTGTAAAAAATAAATTAAAAAGAATGTATAAAATGTAAATAAATGTATAAAATATAAAGGAACGAATACAAGATTAAAAGAAAAGAAGACTCCGAGCAAAGTACAATATTTTAAAAGCATAAAACATGGCATAAAGTTGAAAAAAGAACATTGCAATAAAAGCCAGCAAACCCAATAAAACAGCAACAACTGCAGCAGCTGAAACATTCCACCAGCAAACAGCAAAAACATCAATACCTGTCAAATGCCAGAAAGTTAAGAGATGTTGTTACCTGCTGCTAATAATGGCAGCAGGCAGAACTCACTGAGTATATGACAGTTGTAGGAGAGGAAGAACTGATGGACGCTTTTGGCCATCAGATTTTTGGATTCATATTTCTTAAGCTTTGGGACTTTGGCCAGTCCTGTCCTATACCTTAGTATGCGTAAACAGAGCCTCAAGTGGGTGTTAAGCTATGCAGAAAATCCTGCTGTTTTGTGGATAGCCAGCACTTTCAGTAAAAACAAAACTGCAGAACTGAGAAGCAAATGTCACTCTGCAGATTCTTTTAAACATGATGCATTCAGGACAGCAGAGAGATGGGGAGCCTGCAGCCCTCCAGATGTTTCTGGACTCCCAACTTTAATCTCAGAATCATAGAATTGTAGAGTTGGAAAGGAACCTGAGGATCATCTAGTCCAAGCCAGACCTGCAATGCTGGCATATGCAGCTGTCCCGTATGGGGATCAAATTTGTAATCCTGGCTTTATCAGCACCATGCTCTAACGCACACATAGGCAAACTCGGCCCTCCAGATGTTTTGGGACTACAACTTGCATCATCCCTAGCTAACAGGACCAGTAGTCAGGGATGATGGGAGTTGTAGTCTCAAAGCAGCTGGAAGGCCGAGTTTGCCTATGCCTGCTCCAACCAACTGAGCTATCATCCAGTCAGTATGGATAGTGGTCAGAGATGATGGGAGTCCATAGTCCAAAAACAACTGGAGGACCGTAGGTTCCTCATCTCGAAATAGCAACTAACATCCCTGGAAAACATAATATGACCCAGTATTCAGGTGGCATATTTCAAAATATTCCAGCACCCATTAATCCTTACATGATCTCCTTAATGTATCTGAAGAAGTGTGCATGCACACGAAAGCTCATACCAATAACAAACTTAGTTGGTCTCTAAGGTGCTACTAACGGGACGCGAGTGGCGCTGTGGGTTAAACCACAGAGTCTAGGACTTGCCGATTAGGTGGTCAGCGGTTCAAATCCCCATGATCGGGTGAGCTCCCGTTGCTCAGTCGCTGCTCTTGCCAACCTAGTAGTTTGAAAGTACATCAAAGTGCAAGTAGATAAATAGGTACCACTCTGGCAGGAAGGTAAACGGCGTTTCCGTGCACTGCTCTGGTTCGCCAGAAGCAGCTTAGTCATGCTGGCCACATGACCCAGAAGCTGTACACTGGCTCCCTCAGCCAATAAAGCGAGATGAGCGCCGCAAACCCAGAGTTGGTTACGACTGGACCTAACGGTCAGGGGTCCCTTTACCTTTAAGGTGCTACTGGAAGGATTATTATTTTTTGTCCTTAATGTAAGTTAGTAGTATCTCCATTTTGCAGATATGGGGGCAGGAGGAGCTGAGAAACAATAAGCTTGGTGACGGATTTCAAATGGCATGCTGGGTGCAAAAAGCAGACCTTTTAGCTTGTACTCCTAGGCATATTTACACAGAATTCAGCCCAGTTGTGGGCTTGTCTCCTAGGTGTGTGCATATGACTGCAGCATTAGTCACCATGTTAGACCAGCTCTAAAAACTCTGTTGACCCTTAAGCCAAGAGTGCACAGACTTCAGGTTTGTAGGATCTTCAGGCCGGTGGTAGGACTCTCCTCTGACTGCTCGGACCAATGTTTCTCTGCTGAATTATGACGACTTTGGATCCAACATGGTTGCCTGCAACAGTATGACTGATGGGCTGGAATCTGTGAGGGCTGGGAATTAATTTCTGCTGAGCAGAATTTTGCTGTGCATTATCTGTGATTCTATGGTTCCCAATGCAGCTGAGCTTTGTGGCTTAAAGTGATAAGCAGAGTACAAAAAAATGTCCAGGTTAGTGTAGCTTTCTGATGGTGAAAGAAAACCTTGTGAACTGTAGCATGCCTGCCACACATAGTTAGCTTTCACTGCACATTTTGGAAAGCAGCAAAAACAGAGAGGCTAAAAGAACTTTGCTCCCTGGGATGTGGCAAAGCAACCGGAGTTGGTCTCCGCACATTTAAACAGCTCCACCGCAAGCCAAAATAGGCTGGGCTTTCTTTGCGAAGCAACATGCCATTGTGCTGCTGTGGCTTCGCTGTCTCTCCCAGCGCTCTTGGAGCATTCAGACAATTTCTTTGGCTCCCCAAGCCGAGCAAAGTCTGAATGGGAAGCCTCTTTATGCAGAACAGGAACTCCCAACACAAGGTCTTAGATTTTCCAGACTTCCAAAAGTTACAAATCAGAGGAAGTGCCATTTACAAGCTACCAAGAGGCCCAATTTCCCCATCAAAATTGTGTGTTTTTTTTAAAAAGAGATCATTCTTTAAATTTAGGACTTCTGTGGATGTACGAGGGGGGGGGAGTGGCACTCATTAATTTTTTCATATTACCTGTACTGTCATCAGCACTCCCATTGGCTTATGCCTATATGGGACTCTTATTCCCAGTTGAAGTAAGTGCCCTGCTTCTGAATTAGACTAAAATACCATCTAGACCAGCATTCTACTTCCAGCAGTGAGCACATGTCCCAGGCATAAGGAAGATTCTTGCACGTAATCATAATAATAATTTATTTATATCCCGCCCATCTGGCTGGGTTTCCCCAGCCACTCTGGGCGCCTTCCAACAAAATATTAAAATACAGTAGTCCATCAAACATTAAAAGCTTCCCTAAACAGGGCTGCCTTCAGATGTCTTCTAAAAGTCTGGTAGTTGTTCTCTTTGACATCTGGTAGGAGGGCGTTCCACAAGGCAGGCGTCACTACTGAGAAGGCCCTCTGTCTGGTTCCCTGTAACTTGGCTTCTTGCAGTGAGGGAACCGCCAGAAGGCCCTCGGCGCTGGACCTCAGTGTCTAGGCTGAACGATGGGGGTGGAGACGCTCCTTCAGGTATACTGGACCGAGGCCATTTACGGGCTTTAAAAGTCAGCACCGACACTTTGAATTGTGCTCAGAAACATACTGGGAGCCAATGTAGGCATTTCAAGATTGGTGTTATGTGGTCCCGGTGGCCACTCCCAGTCACCAGTCTAGCTGCCACATTCTGGATTAGTTGTAGTTTCCGGGTCACCTTCAAAGGTAGCCCCACATAGAGCGCATTGCAGTAGTCCAAGCGAGAGATAACCAGAGCATGCACCACTCTGGTGAGACAGTCCGCGGACACATAGGGTCTCAGCCTGCATACCAGATGGAGCTGGTAGACAGCTGCCCTGGACACAGAATTGACCTGGCCTCCATGGACAGCTGTGAGTCCAAAATGACTCCCAGGCTGCGCAGCTGATGCTTCAGGGGCAGAGTTACCCCATTCAGGACCAGCGAGTCCTCCACACCTGCCCGCCTCCTGTCCCCCCAAAACAGGACTTGTGTCTTGTCAGGATTCAGCCTCAATGTGTTAGCCACCATCCATCCTCCAAGGCAGGAGTGGGGAACTTCAGAACCAGGAACCGAATAACTGAACTTCGGGACTCTTCCCCCTCATTGGCCCTGTTCTTTGCCCAGTGTCAGGGACTGGCTGGCTGAAGGAATGGTGGGAGGCACCAGCCGGGGAACCCCAAGGGAAACCTCAGAGGAGGAAGGCTCAGAACCCAGGGGATTGGTGGTGGGGGGCCAGAGGGAAAAGATTGGGAAGAGGTACTGGATACTGAAGGACCAACAGGGGTATGTGAGCAGGAAGAGCCGGTGACAGGGGGCAGTCCAGATTCTGAGGCTGAAGCAGAGGAGGGGGGTCAAGAGGCTGTAGAAGAATCCAGGGTGTCTCCCTCTCCTGCTGAGACAAGCTCCCCTAGCCCCTGGTCTGCAAGAACATGCAGAATAATGAGGAGAGCAGAACAGAGGCCAGAGGTGTGCAGACACAGTTCAACACTGCTTGGGAAACACCCGGGAGGAAAGGAGCCTTAGAAAGGGTGGAAGGCCCCTTTGTCTGAAGAGGCACTTCTACATGTTCCGGTGGTCTGAGGGGGTCACCACTTTGGACTCAAAACAGACATCATGCACACAGCCTTTGGGCTGGTCCATGCGAGTAAAGGGAGATGAGTCAAAACCTACCCAATATTCATCACCATAATAGAATTATGCAAGAGAAAGCAGGATTTATTTATTTTTTTAAGAAAGTACCAGTTTATTTTATCAAATCAGTGACAGTGAAAACAAAAGCAAATATACAAGAAATCTCATTTGAGCAATCAGGAGGCAGACATGTTTTCCAAGCAATCGTTATAAAAATGTGTTAAGTATATAATCCTCCCCACTCAGCCCGCTACCCCAAACTAAACAATTCCAGAAGCCAAGTTTTGAAAAGACTTGTGCTTGTGCCAAAGCAAAATCCATTGCACAGACTTAAAACTTTACCCATATGTTCATCAGAGCAGTCTAACATACACATGATAAAAAATCATCGCATGAATTCACTGCCAAAAGTGTTTTGTTTTTGTTTTTAAGGTAAGAGCAAGCCGTACATTGTTCTGGTAACGTCTTATCAGAGAACCTTGCACAGGCCCCTTCTGTTCACGCAAGGACCACAAAGTTAAGTGTTAAGACTATGCCACGTTTTTAAAAGCTACAGCTCAAAGAATGCAAGTAGTTCAAGATTATGCCAGGACCTGTGTGGTTAGGAGATGGCCTTGCACTGCACAGTACCCGATTTCCTGCAAATTACACAACCCCCCCCCCCACTGCACGGCGACCTTCCTTTGCTCTCAGAGGCGACAAGACTGTGCAGATGCAATCTGATCACATCGGAATCAAGCGGGGCCCTGGAAAGCAACTTCCGAAGAGACTCGCTTCCTAGGAAACCCAGCTTATACCAGATACACTGCAAGTCACTGCACAGAAGCCGTAGTCCATGCAATGCAGCTTAAAGGTCCTTGTAATACCACTATCTACATCCCCAACCCAAAGATCTAGGATCTAAGCCTAGCTCCGCTGCACCAGTTGCACACTTTCCTCCAAACGAGGGGTGAGGAATCTCAAGCCAGGATGCCAAACGCAAACCTCTAGGAGACTACCTGCCTCGCAAGACTCCCCCCAGGCAACACACCTCTTCATATCCCCTTTTTGCCTGGCTAGGTGGTGTCCTTCAGTTCTGAGAGTGCCTTTGGTTGCCTGGATGGAGCAGAGAGAAATTAGCAAAGGCAACATTTACATTCACTGCTCTACCCACTTTTGCTCCTGCTCCCTACTAGCATGTGGTGGTCCTAGAAGTTTGCCCAGCTGGAAGACACCACTCTCTGTACCAAACAGCTTCTGAAGTCTGTCTTCTGTCACCCCGTGACATTAAACCGGGATAAGCAAACAGGAGCATGTGGCCGAATCATACCCACACCCCCCACAGTGAAATTCCATGCTGCCCGTGCAGTGAAGCTGGGTGTAAAAGCTAGACTCCAACCCACACAGCTGAATTGTTCAGCTGCCATTGATAAGCAACACCATATGTGAAGTAATGACTCCATCGAGAAGAGGAAGACATTTAGGGGAACTCTGCAAGGAAGAGAGCAACCCAGCACCCCTTGCAGGAAGGCTGTACAAAACCTCAAGTGTGCATTTTACTGGAATATATATATTATAGAGCTCCACAGCACTGATAATATATTACAAGGCTAAAAACACAAACCTCCAATTATATTTTAGTCATGTTCAAAGAAATCTGATTTTTGCAGACAGACATTAATTCTAGCAGAACGTATTGCCTTCGGGTATAGTACACAGAATCAAGCTTAAATAGTTTTCACAATCATTAGGAGTTTCATTATATTAGTGTTTTACGTATAAAAAGAAGAGTTACCAAAAACAGAGCAGCCATCTTAGAAAGTATAAATAGCTCTATATAAAAACAACAACCCAGAAACTTATTTGCTTTTACTCCAGAAAATATATTTATAATTATATATAAATATTCTCTTCTCAACTGCCTAGAATAGCCTATGATATGAGCTTAGAGAGCTTTAACATACTGTAGCTGCTGCATCGGTTCTGGCAATGAGCGATATAAAATGCCATTCATCTGGAGAGATGTCCAGCAAAGGGGGAAAATGGGACTTTAAAAAAAAAACAGAACTCATGAAAATTACAAAATATATATACTTTTTAAAATTTCGGAATACTTTCTACAAACTTGTATAGGCAGGGAATTTTTCTTAGCGTCTTTTATTTAAGGAAATCCTCTTCTAAAAATAAAAAAGGTATTTCTTCAACTCAGCTCCATTTAAAAAGTGGGAGACATCCCCCCTGCCACACACACACACACACACACACACACACACACACACACACTGTTCTGCTTTTATAGGCTACCCAGCTCTCTCTCCACCAAGAAAGAAATCATCTCTTCACACAGCCACATCCAAAATAGTACTGAGATACTCAAGTCTGCAGAGAGCAGATTTGCTCTCTCCCAAGGCTAACGTGCACTGTAGCGCAGGAGATTTCATAAATAAGTTCTTTACCAAAAAAAAAGAAAAAGCCTTGTAGAGCTGGCCCCGCTACAGGTCAACCTTCTTACAGGTAGAAATGAACTTACACCTTTTCTGCAGACAAGACAAGTTGGAGCACTGTGACCAAATGCGAACAGTTTCACATACGAAACCCCTTCACCCAACCAAAACAGAGCATTTGGCAAAATTTGCTTTGCATTTCAGGACACATGCACACTCGCACACCCCACAAGGGGTTTTTTCTCCCTAGGACGCTGCCTTTTTCTTTTTTTACTTTGCATCCTTGTTGGCTAGCGGGATGGGAAGGGTCACAAAGTTTTTATATATATATAAAAAAATCACTTTGACGGTTAGATCCAAGAGAGCATTTGTCTCAGAGCTTCTTGTCCGCGGTCCAAATGCTTTTTTTTTTTTTTTACAAAGTCCATTTCTGACTCCCAAATGGGTTTGTGTCATTGGCAAGCCTTAGGCGTAGAATTCGTTTGTGGGTGCTTTCTTGTAGATCGGCTTCTTGCCCAGGTCGTAACTGCCCTCGTCCTTTTTCTTCATGCGATAGATCAGGAGGAGGATTGGGAAGACAGCAAACAGCAGCAACCCGACTGCCCCACCTGCAATAAGAGCTGGAAGTAGGGGGGAGAGGGAGAAAGGAAATAGCAGCATATAGTAAATACTGTGGAAACAGAAGAGATTTGCACCTACTTCCAACACATGTCATGCAATGCAGCTTCCGTCTCAGGCTTCCGCTACACAGTAAGTACTGGAAGCTGTTTTGCACCCAACTTTAGTTGCAACTGATACTAGGTATTTTTTATTACTATTACAATTAAATCATCCAACTGCTGCCCTAAAGAACTCAAGGTTTTCCCCCTTCCCACCTATCCTTGCAACAGCCTGTGCTACGAGGGTCAAGGTATTGCCAGCCGTGACTTTGAAAGTCATTCTAGTGCTGCAGGAAGTGTGTGTAAGAGAGATCTCATCTACTGGAATCACAACTGCTGCATACGTCAGCTCCATGCACGGGTCAGAATGTCTGCACAGGTTCAGCATCATAATAATAAATAATTATTATTTATTATTTATATCCCGCCCATCTGGCTGGGTTTCCCCAGCCACTCTGGGCGGCTCCCAACAGAATATTAAAAACACGATAAAACATCAAACATGCTTTATAAAGCATGCATGAGCAGCAGCCCTACTAAAATTCAGGGCACAGTTGATGCTCTCAGAAGCTATGCAGATGTTCCAACCGATGGAAGGAAGCCAGGTGCATGGAAGGAGCACGGCCCTATCTTTGTACTTATCATCTCACTAGAGATCAAATATGTTCCATGGGGCTCCAATCTCTAAACACAACTTCTTGCACCTGCTCATATGGAGTTGGGGAGAGGGGCTGCTTAAACCTGCTGAATGTTTAGGCTGAATGTAAGTTTAAGTAACGGAAATGCTTCTTATTTTGGGTAGCGATGTGAGTAGACGACCGCGAGTTTCTCAGAACTGTGGCTGCCCATCTACAGGCCTTTACATGCTTATAGAAGATTGGCCATGTTGTTTAAACAACAGTTAAAAATACGTCCTCTCCCCACCGCTCCTGTATATTTTCGTTTTCCTCTTATTTGTGCAATACACATCCGTATTGTTAGTTCTTTGTATTCCTGATAAAAAGCTTCTCTTCAGCAAATGAAGCTTCTTCCCATTTTAAGGAGTGGCAAACTTAATTCTTCCATCAAAAAGAAGATGGTTACCTGCCAGAACTTCTGTCCTCTCAAAGATGCTGCCATTGGCTGTGCTGGCCATCGAGATCTTGTTGGATGGCTCATCGCCTTCTTCAGAGGGCGCAGGTTTCCTGAGAACAGAATCGTTTTCTGTTTCTATCACAGCAGGCTCGCTATCCTTTGTCTCTCCTTTGGAATAAGGGATAAAGTTGTCCATGGGCTCCTGAATGAAGTGAAAAGATGAGTCATGCCTTTGTACCTACACAGCTGAGAGCAATGCTTCACAGAACGGAAAAGAAAGAAGGGTGAACGGTTGAACCCGTCTGGGCGCCAGCGTCTCCCCTTAAGTGTTCCAAGAGAACAGTAATAACCAAGGGTCAGCACATCTAGAGACAATATGGCAGGACTGGCCAACAGCTGTAGATGCTGCTCCAGAACAGATTTATGTTGTTTATATAGCAGAGACACCCTGGTATTCTGGAAACAGATAGCACTGTCAAGTGTTACTACACTCTACAAACAGACTTGTCAATGGACAAATTTTACGATGATTTGGAATTCATTTTTATAAATACCGTATTAGGTTAAGGTCTGGTTAAACTACAGTAACTTTTGTTTTTTGTAACGTATACAATTCCTTTTTGTTTTTTTCTACTTTGTTTTCTGCATGGGTGCTATTTCTTTTTCCTTTTTCTTATCCTACTCTGTGCATTTGTAATTATGTACTTTTTATTTTCCAAAAAAGAAAATAAAAAGTGCTACTACACTGTACTGTTTGCTACCTCGGTATGTGCCATTTCCGATCGCCATTTACCTTGCGTAGCACACCTTAAAAAAAATAATGCCCAGGGGTCTTTAACATGCACCATTTGCCTATGCCAAAGCCATGCAGATCTACACAATAAGTAAACCTACCCAGCAGTAACCCATTCCCTCATCCCCTCAGTACAAGGATTGCTACTTGTTCAATGGGACTCCACCCCCTTCCTTCTTCTCCCACCACATGTGCACCACACCTACCCCAAATCTGCTCCAAAGGGTTGTGGGGGAAACCCCGGGACAGATTTAGAGAGCACACAGTGGGAGGAAAGTCCCATTTGACAGGCATAAATCCTTGCGCTGACAGGAGGTTCGCTCAGCAGTGCAGCAAATACAAGCCACTGTCGCTTTGCATTTCCAGTTTTCAATGTTCCTGCAGGGGTTCAGTAACATAGCTGGGTGGCCTGTTCTCAGAAGCCATGTAAAAGCAAGTCCTAGGTGGCACATCAACTGAATGACTTCTTCGCCATGTGGCGAGTATTTGCAAATACCTACCATAGGTCTTTCAGAGGCTGGAAGTAAGGCATCCTCTGTATCATCTGCATAATGAGGGGAAAAAACGTATTAATTCTCACCAAAATGAAGAAACTGCGTTCCTTCAGAAGACTTTGGCAAACTTGCATCAGACAGCTTATCGCCTCATCGTGCACTCTCCTCTTTCACATCTCCACCCAACCCCCGACTTCCCTGACCTAGTGGGTTTTGCTTCAGGCAGCCGGTTGCAAGGACTGCCACTGCAAGTCCACACACAGCGTGCTGTTTGACTTGTTTTCAAGAGAGGAGCTGCCCTTCTTTCAAACACCCATTCCTTGAGGAGAACTGGCTCATGTAAAGTCCCCGATCTGCCCCAACTTGTTGCGTGCTAGTTTCGGAGCTTGTTTTTCCTCCGCGTTGAGAATGCAGCGTGCAACAAGTTGTCGGAGCAAGGCTGTGCTGGGAGTTTGGAAAAAGCAGAGGGGACAAAATGCGAGGCTGTTGTGCCATCAAAAGGCTGAAGTAATGAGAGGGGAGGGAGAAAGAAGAGCCGTTTCCGAAGAAAGGAGGAGGAAAGCTTCTTCCTAAATAAAGCCTTAATGGGGGTTGTCTAACAGAACCACAACAATGTGGGAAATTTCCCTGGCCAGTGACCAGCTGCTGCAGGTCAGTGAGGATATTTGAATTTCTTAGCTAGTTGTTCCAGACAAGCGCAGGCTGCATCCCCACACTGTTGGAACGGTGGTTGTGTGACAGAAGAGCATTTGTTTCCCTTTCAAGTTAGGCATGTGAACTAGAAGGTATAAGCAGGCATTCAGATTGCAATAAATGGCGAAGCAGGTTGAGCATCTCCCATCCACACACACCTGGCTAAGGGTGGTTGTGCACTCGCAAAGCCTCAAATTAGGGAGTACAATGCTTTCACCCCAAGTTTAGCCAGATGATATTCAGCAAAGTAAATAGGAGCACAATGCAAACAACCTGTGTTCATCTCAGATTTATAACCTGCGGCTTACTACAAGCCTAGGCAAGAAGAGCACAGATTTTACACATGCAAAAGGCTGTTTGGCTTGGAGCTAGAGGCAGTTTAGAGTGAAGTATATATACCTTCTTCATCTCCTGAACCTGAGTAGTCATAGCCATCTTCATCAATTACAAAGTCAGGCCTTGAGTCCTCATCATCTGGCAAATCTCCAGATGGAAATTCATATAGCTGTGGATCCATAGTCTCGGTTTCTCTCACCTAAGAAGGGAAAACAAGATTTAAAAGGAATGGTTAATAATAATAATAATAATAATAATAATAATAATAATAATGTTATTATTTATACCCTGCACATCTGGCTGGGTTTCCCCAGCCACTCTGGGCAGCTTACAGCATATATAAAAACATAGTAAAATACAAAGCATTAAAAATTTCCCAATACAGGGCTGCCTTCAGATATCTTCTAAAAGTTGCATAGATCTTTATCTCCTTGACATCTGAAGGTTTGATATTAGTAGTCGGGGGGGGGAATACTAGAAGTTAACAGACTGGGTAATTAGACACAATAATTTAATAAAATCTGAAAATTGGATGAAAACAAATAAAAGAAAAGGGAGTTAGAATTAATTATTCTAAGAATTCTATTTTAAGTGTTATGAACTAGCATAAATGAGTGAGGAATTAAGAAATAACTGGAGTGTTTATGCTGTATTAGTAGGATTTAGAAATAAGTAGTTTATTTAGAGAATGTAAGACAAAGCATTGTATTCTTAAGCAGAAATTAGATGAAACTTTAGAATTGTATTTTTGCGCTCTCTCTCTCTCTCTCTCTCTCTCTCTCTCTGTGTATTTATATATAATTTATAGGAAGAGTCTTGATGGACCAGATGCCAAACTGGTTGTTCCAGAGATAGGCAGAATTCAAAGATGTCTTCATAGCTTGATTCAAAGATGGCTTGTAGCTTGATCAACCAACTTAGAACATGTTTAAAAGCCACAGGTGTTTACGGGCTGCACAGCTGGCTCCTGCAGGACAGGGGCGTTCCTGCATCAAGTTGCAAGATGTACCATTGAAAAGCAGCAACACCAGTCACCATACCAGAGCCCTAACTCGAGCTGGCAAGGTGACACATAACAGTAGATCGCCCAAGTGCCAGGGTGTACTGCAAACCCATTGATAATTAAGAGGGTTGCCAGGCCATTACCAGAACTAGTGCCAGGAGAAGATGTGGTCCATTGTCATTTGCTGCCTTGTTCTTCTCTACCTGCGGAGTTTCATCCACTCTACTCTGAAACTTCCTATGCATCGAAGTAAACCTCTGCTTGCTACAGCAAGGAAGGGTGAAGAGAGCAGGCAACTTCTCTGGCTGCCAGCTTTAAAGGCACCACGACAACCTGGCAGTAGCAACCCTATTTAAAGTTCTTGCAACCATCTTGCCCTATGCTGCCAGTGGGCAGAGGGAATGTCTGGCCTGTCTTCCCCCACAGTGCTGGTGCCTGGAGCCAGCCGTATGTGAAACGGCACTGTTTGCTTCCCCAAGGCCTACGAATTCAATTAACACAATTATACAAAGGTTGGAACTGACAGATTTGTTTGCTTCCCCCATCTGAAAATTCTGCTGACAAGAGGATCAAAGGGTGGTTTTTCTTTTTTCTTTTCGTAATAAATACTAACTCACTTGAATTAAGTGCTCCATCAAGAACATACAATTTAAAAAGCAAACTCAGCAGCTGCCCTTTGAAAATAAAAAAGAACTAAATGCTGGGGCCTAATGCAGCCACAGATATGGAATTAGCACAGCAACAGCAGCAATAGATAAGCTGTTGCACGGTACATAAAAGCCAAAGTGACTTTGCCAAGGTTCAGATGTCAAGCTACGCAGTTTCATAAGAGCCTGTTTACCTTCCACTGTTCAAAGAACCTGTAGCAACCTTCAGAGTTACTCCGAGGTAAGACAGCTTCCCTTGCAGCTCAGTACACCTTGGGTATCAAAAGACCATTATGGAAGCTTAGAAATACACACAACTCAATTCCAGAATCGTTAGGTCATTTGCCAGCTTGGGGACTGAACTACTTTTTGTTTCCGCCTGAGGGACAAATTTCCATCTGCCCGGATAGAGGTAGAATTTCTCTGTGTCAAGGTATCTGGAGTCACTGACTGAAGAGCAACTGATTATTAACTTACTATTACCAGAGGAGAAAGCTTTTACGCAGGAAAAACTGAGAACCCATACAGCCAAAGAGGCTGCAGCACTGGATGGATGACCCAACGGCACTAATAATGAATGGCATGTTGAGGGAAACAGGTCAGAAAGTCCTTTTGCAAGTCCTCTTGCCAGCTCTAGTCTGATGCAAGTTCAGCACGAGTTATAGAGGCAGTCAATGGCAGAAGTATCCTGTGGTTGCTTCTGATCAGGACTAACCAAGAGATTCCAGATCTCTCAACCGTGCCATGCTACAGGATCTAGACACTCTGCATGCAACCCAAATGGAAAACCGAACCCTGCAAGATGGGATGCATTTTGTGTGCAGAATTTGGTCCTTGAGGCCACAGACTTCTGAGATAGAGAGTTGGTCCACATACGGCGACCAGCTTTTGTCCTCATTGCAAGGCAGTCCAAAGCAAGCAGTTCTTAACTGCTGTGGCACACCCATATGTCAACTAAGGCTGCATTCATTGTGATGAATCACAGGTATAACTTTCCTTTGTGCCCATCTGTTGCTGACAAAAGGCTTGAAAGACTAAGCAGGCTAGACTAGAAAAATGGCTAACAGAAGTGGGCGGTGGGTGGGTGTGTTATCAGATCAGAGGATGAGCAAGACTACAGTCAGACATGCGCCATCTTTTGTGTGCTTTGATAAGCTATTACTTAAATTCGTTTGCAAGAAAGTGACCGAGCCGGATACAAACACAGACTTGACCCAGATGTGTTTGCTGCTGGAGGAGCCCATGCGATTGAATGAAATACCATTGTCCTATGTCAGCCATTCCCAATCTGGTGCTCGATCCCCAGACGGGAGTTGTGGTTCAAAATGCATGCCAGGAGAGCACAAAACTTCTTTATGTGTATAATAATACATAGGAGTTTTTGAGAGTTAACAGAGACCTTTAGTGAGGCCAAAAAGGAATTGAAAGACAACTTCCTTAGCAGTAGAGTCTATATCTACAGAGCAACAGAAACAGAATATTTGGGCACAACTTGAGGATAGAACAGGAGACAGGATTGCTCCATCCACCATTTTGAATCTCTCCCCAAGCTGTGGCCACAGTCACAACCCCCAGGAAGGACAAGCTTGTGCCGTGTCCTGAGGGAGCTACAAGTCAAACCAAGTCAAAGAGCAGCCTCCTTTCTTGCTTGCTTTTAAGCACAGCTCTTTAACCCCAGGTTAGCTTCTCAAATGTGTTTCCTGAGGACGTTTTTTATGTATGCGACAACAGCAGCAAGGATTCTTCTAGCAAAGTATTGGAAGACACAACAACTACCCACACTGGAAGAATGGCAGACGAAGGTGATTGACTATATGGGACTGGCCGAATTGACTGGCAGAATCCGTGACCAGGGGAAAGAGACAGTGGAAGAAGATTGGAAGAAATTTAAAGTTTATCTTAGAACTTGTTGTAAAATTCAGGAATGTTAAAATGTCAAGGGGTTGGGAAACAGAGAACTGCAGCTGTAATTAATAATATTAGAAGAACTTAAAAGAAATTGAATTGAATAATTAGTTGATTGAGGAGTTGCTGAAGAAATATAAAACAAGGATGCAGAAAAGGGGAGGTATGGGGAAGTCCGGAAAGTAAGGTTTATGAAAAATGGCTATGAAATTATACATGTTTATATGTTTGTATGTCGGTGTTTTGTGTATTGTTTGCTTTCTTATCTTATGTTTGGAAAATTAATAAAAATTTATTAAAAAAAAAAAAATCAAATGTGTTTCCTGAACACCCAAGGTTTAGTTATTCTGCTTTGGTTTATACTAAGCTACTCCCGATGCAGCTGGGAATATGGGTCACTAAGAACCATAGGGTTTGTTGCTAGGCCTAAGGAACATTAGACAGCTTACTTCATATGAGCAAGTTGTAAATGGAGACTGAGGCTAAACAGACCATAGAATCAAAGAGTTGGAATGAATTCTGAACACCACCCAGTCCAAATTCCCTGCAATGCAGAACTCTCAACTAAAGCATCCATGACAGATGGCCATCCAACCTCTGCTTAAAAACCTTCAAGGAAGGAGAGTCCATCACCTTCCTGGACGGGCACTCCTGTTGAACAGGGTGGTAACTACATTTCTGTGCCCTGGGAAGACTTAAATCTGCAATGCCAACCACTTTCCAATATGAGCAAAAATGTACCACTCTACTTTGGTAATATGGTGCCCTGAGTGAGGACAAAATTTGGCACCCTTTCCTGAATATTTCTTATTTTCACAATAATTCCTGTTGGTACAGTTGCTTTTCATGGATCTTCTCAGTAACTACTGGTGTAAATATAGGTTGTTGTTGCTGCTGCTGCTGTTCTCCCCTCAGCTCAGCACCCTGTGTGAGGGAACCACCCATACTGCCCTAGATCCAGCACTGATTCTATGAAGGTGCATTATGTAGTCTTGCTTGGCCCTTACTGCCATTCTTACAATAGGAAGCTGCACCCAGAATGAATCACTTGCCATTCACTCTGTCTACATGCAGTCCCATTTCTATGCCCCAACTGCCCCCAATTCCAACACACAAGACATTTTGATAATTGTGTTTTCTTTAAGAACTCCAAAGTCTCTAAAAATGTTACGTCTGAGCAGGGCCTGTCCACATTTGCTTTGGGCCAATTTAAATGGCAACTCTGGAGATCCTTTAGACTTCCACAGAGTTTCAGGTATCAGTTTTGGAGTTTGCAGCTAGGTTTCTTCCTTTTCTAATAAAGGGAAATTGGGTTCTTTTCTGTTTCCAAAGACCTTACTAGTCTTACCTACCTGATATTCCAGAATCAATGAATGAATACATTGCGAATCTATCATAATGATCTGGGAGCACTGAAAGGGGTGGGGGGCTAATCTCCAGGGCTTGTTGACCATGCACTGTCCCACCCTAGGAGCCCTGCTTGGCTTTAGAAAATGAAAGCAAACTGTGTGGGTGCCGATTTTGGATTTTGCTGTTCCTCCATTATTTTCTGCTTTTTGAACAGAGCTGCACAGGGTCAGCCTGATGGGCAGTTCTGTTTGTTTTCCAACCAGAGGGGCACTGCAGCTCCACGAGCTTCTGGCAACGTATACAGGCTTTGCTATTAATATGCTCTCCAGCTGAATCCTTTAACTACAGAAGCCTGTCACTTCTGCATTTAATCCAGTTGCAGCGTATCTTCTGAGCATTAAGCAGATTTGCCCATATCGAGTGCCAAGCGAGATTAACAAACATGGCTGGGAGGAGCACAGGGGCGGAGAAGCAGCTTTTCTAGCCTACAAATTGCTGAAAGATTTGCTTTGCAGCTGCCAGGCACAGTCTGTGTGCAGGCACACATGCACACCTTGATTCTGCTACCCACAAGCGCTGCTGCAGCAAGGCAGTCAAATATTGTAAGTGCCACAGAAATCATATGCACCAAGACATACCCAGATATTCCGAAGGATGATTGTTAGTGCAGGGATTATTAGTAAAAGCTATATTTAATGTGTATGCCCCCTGGAAACGAGGTACTAACCACTGGCTCCTTTCTCACTTTAACACAGCAGTGTTCAAAATTAGCCAGGTGCTACACGATTTTTGCACCTGGCTTTGAACCATTTGCAACCAACTGAAGATATCTGGGCACCAGGTTGATGCCTGATATCTCCACCATCTGGGGATCAATGGATCTGGACTGTTTTCACACTTAAACCCCGCCCTCCAATGCTGTAGAATTCTATCAGTTATATTTTATCTGCACAACCAGAATGAATTTCTGGAACCAAAATGCTTTTCCTGTGCAGCCTGAGCAGTCCCCATTACGAAAAAGAGGTCGGAATAGGCCAATATACATGTGGAGTGTCCCTGGATGAAGTGACTTTTGTTCTTTAAGTTTTCAAAGCTCTTAGCCTAGCTCAAGGTTGCCATCTGAACTAGCCAGATGTTTAACTGAGAATCAATCACAGTCAATCCATCACTTGAAAAATAAGACTTTAGAGCCATCTTGCCCAAAAATGGCAACTAGACATTCCATTTTGGCAACTGCAACCTTGGTTTAAGGAGCCACTGGGCACCTAGCTTATACATCTGAGTTTCTGTTTCATGATTTCAGCTCAACCACCACTTCTTGCTTTTCCGACAACTACCCAAACTGCTGCTAGCACATCAAAGACCATTAGCTGCCTTATTAGGGGAAGCCTGCTTGTGACTCTAGCAGCTTTCAGAACTACTCACTTCTATAGATCCAAGCCCCAAAATCCAGATTCCCCTCCAGGCTCTGCTGAAAGACAGCAGACTCCAATTTGCAAAATCTCAAAGAGACAGAGCCCTGCCATGCACCGCTTTTAACGGGGCAGGCAATTAAATCTTCCATAGCCAGCCTTAGCTAGTACTTCCCAGCAATGTGTACATAAGCAGGTGGGGTAAACTGTCAGAGCTATTGGGCTGGCAGCACCAAGTACAAGGACCTGGACCAACAAACTCAAGGAAGAAGGTGGCAGTTTGCCACTAACCATTTGCAAATGGAAAGCAACTCAGTTCGGGGGTGGGGGAGAGATGCGTTCCCATCCTGTGAATTCCTGGTATTCGGTCTTCTCAGAAGCTGACGCACACACTGAATGCCTGCATCTGCCCAACTTCAAGGCAACGCGTTTAGGGTGCAGCTTTTACAAAAGTGTGGGAAAAGAAGCGGAGGCAGAATTACCAGTCAGGTTTTGTTTATGGCACCGCTTTATTTGGTTAGCCGAAGATGCTAAAAGCTTCACTGGGTGCAGAAGAGACACACACAAGTGACAGGCTACGTATGTGTGGACAGATGGATTAGAAGGAGTATTCCCAAGCCTGTGAAACATCGGCTGTAGTGGCTCTACGACTCTTGCCAGTCTTGATTATAAAGCATGCTTGTTCTTGGCTTCTCAATCAGATAGGAGTGGTACCTTTGGGATCTAAGACAACACCCCTGGCCCCTCCCAGACACTGTTAAGACGATCTACGTGTGCCCTTCCTTTCGCAGTATGCCTTTAAGTGTTCGCTTAAATGTGCAAATTGTTCTATGAGTTGTACTGTACTAGGCCAGCTTGTGCTGCCTGAATCTAATTTGCTCAGTGCGCAGGGAGGGAGAGATGGGGTGAACAGGAGTTGCGCAGAAACTAGCACTTCACAGGATAGTTTTTTTCTCTTGCCCACAATTAATGATTGACCGGTATTTTCCCCACCCAGGCCATTATTACTTCCTCTCCATCTCTGCCTTCATCATCAGGGCTATCAAGTTTTTGATCTGACCACCCTTTCCCCAGTGTTGCACTCCCCAGGCTATTCTGCATATCCAATCAGGCCTGGATCCAGAGATTCCTGGGAGCAAATACTCCTGCTGACAAGATGGAGAAAGCAGAAACAAGATTTCCACTGATTCACCTCTCCTCTGTAGTCCGCAGGAACCATGTGGGTGGTGGTGCAAGAGTTAAGTTTCACAGCTAGTACACAGATGCAAAGGACTGAATTACATGTCACCAATGCTCTTGCAGGACTTGAGGATAAGCTAAGCTACAGGTATTGTCACCAATACAAGCACCAAGTTCATTTGTTTCATCTTAGCTCTGAAGACCAAGACCTATTATGTTTCTCTGTATTACACTAATTATTCTGCCTTTATTAAGCTGGATTTCCGTAACAGGTAATTTATTGAATTCATCTTGAATCATACCTCTGAAGGGGATTTGTCACACAGGAACGGCTTTCAAGCTAAGTTCTGGGGAACACCTCCGGGTTCCTCAAGAGCTTATCAAAGACTCTTCAAAGGCAAGTTCAACAATAGCTTCCCTGCAAAACAGATTGCTACCCCATCTTGATCTTACACTGCAACGTGCAGCTGCATGGGGCTGTTCTAGACTTCACCAATTTACATATGAGGCAATGGCAAGGCCAGGTGAATAGGTGCACACACCTGTGAGTGGGCAGGTGCACAGAATATTCATGAAGGGCACCACAGAGCAGGACAGTGTTGGTCAAGCAAGTCAACATCAAATGGGTGCCCTAAAACAAACAAGTTTAGGAAGTTTTCCCTGTTCAGTATAGTTGTCTTCCCAGTCATTTCTACGTGTCTCCCTAAAAAATGGCTAGGGGGAGATTTTTTAAAAAAAACCCTATTCTGCAAAAAGTTAAGAGATCACGGTGTACTTTTTAAATTTACATTCAAAATCTGCTCCTCTTTGAGTCATTTTTTCATTAAGAGTTTGTGTCCTTGCTAAATTTGGAGAAAGTTCAACCCTTTCCCAGCCCTGATCTGAATTAGCCCACGTTCCCTCCGCCCCCCCCCCCCAAAGCTGCATTTTCCTTTTCCAAACCATAGTTTGCCAATTCAGATGTAGAACTATGGTTTGACTAAACCAGGAGCTAATTGAAGCAAAGCACACTAGGGAAGAGCATATGCATCCTTCTTGTTCCTGCAAAACTGAGCCAACTCAGTGTCTTAGCAGCAAAAGAAAATGGACTTGAATCAATGTTTAGAGGACTGCTGCTTTCATGATGAAAGTTGAAGCTATTTACGTTCTGAAGGGATGTTACAGCCATTTTAGTTCACCCCCTTGGGCCAATTTCTTCTGCTTGCAAGTCATGTGCAAGCTTTAGCCAACAGCATTGCCCTACAGGACTTCAAATCATATTAGCCCATATAGGTCAGCTTTACAAGTGCACTAAGCTCACTAGATTTACCTAACGTGACTCAAGTAAACAGAATATGATGTTTGGACAGAGCCATATTGACAATAGCTGCAAAGGCAACCCTTAAAAAGCCCCAAATTGGCACGTCCCCATCATTTCTCCCCCACCTGCGCTGGGCTCACGTAACAGCTTGGCAGCTTATGTGGTCCCTCAGCCAAGGTAAACTTTTATGCTTCTCAGGTTATTGGATTCTAAGGCCTATGCCTTAGAAAAGTGTTGCTTAAGACTTTCAGAGCATTTAGGAAACTTGCTATCAGCAGTCTGTTCTGACTCACCAAGCTTTCTTCAAAATGCCTTTGCTGAGGTGAAGGGTGAGGTCACATCTGACAAGGCCAACCAGGTCGGGAAAGCAGAAGTATCACTTGGTTCAATCTTGTGACTCGCTAGTTCCAAGGAAGGAAGGGAATCCTCCCATCAGCAGACTCTCTGGTGAAATTACAGTCGTGCATATTTCAACTGTCTTACACATCCTAAGAAGATCTTACTGTGCAGAAAGCCCCAAAAGCCACACCAGCACAACGGTTACATGGCATTTTGAGACACTGGCTTTCATGTAGTGCTGGATTACCAGGTAGGAAGAGGAGGCACCAGCCTATGGGGACCCAGCAACCACGGATCAAAATAATATTGATTTGATGTTGAAAGTAAGCTACAATCAAGCCTTCTTAGTTCAATGTGAGGTAGGTCCCAGGATTTTGACTGCCTAGGGGCCTCCACAGGGTTTACTCCACTGCTTTAATGAGTTGAGACCATGTAGATAAGCTTTTTAGGTTTTCACACCTGAACTCACTCTGCCCCATGTTCCAAGCACTCTGTTCGGGACAAGAGAAACAGTATGGGGTAAGGATTTACCCCTACCCACCTTGTGCAAATACAACTCTCTTTGTGCACACACTTGTGTTCATGACTGACTGCTTGCAAGTTGGAGATTCCAAGAAAACAACGCAGGAAGGGAGGTGAAAATGTACCACTTTTCTCAGCAGATCCAAGACATTTGATAGGTGACCCGAGTGCAATAAATTGTCCGTGTGTGTGGAAGAAGAACCACATCTAAATTACAAAAGATTAAGAAAATGAGATGGTCTGCTTAGTGCATCACCCTATTTGCCACAGTTGCCAGCCAGAGGTCCACAAGGGCAAGAGACCTCTCCCATAGTTGTTGTGCAACTGGTACCCAGAGACAGGTTATCCTATCCTGGAAGCTGGATACAGCCATCTTGACTAGCAACCATGGCCGATTCATAGCTCCTTGCGACCTTTTGAGTTCTCCCCTACGCAAAGATGCTCCATGCTCTACCGTTTTAACTACCATCCTCAACTGGTTTCCAAGATCCTGTTAGCTTCCCATCGCTAAGGTACGTTTAATTGTTCGTCTATCTGGCACCCCCACACTTAAGTCCTGATGAGCAAGATACCAGGAAAAATTTTTTACAGGTAGCAACACTTTGTCTAGGTTTGTTTGCACAGCTGTTTCTTGCAGGGGTTTCTGCTTTACATAATTTAATCTAATCAGGGGGCCTAGAGATTAGCACAGCCTTCCTCTTCTACATCTGATTAATACCCGTGACTTTTCCAGACAATGATGCTTTCCAGAATCACAGGAAATAAGCAATGTTTACAGTCCAAAGCATCAGGTACTTTCCACTATTATAACAGCACACCAAGCACTGCACTGAACCAATCTTTGCATTGCCATAGCTGAAGGAAAATGGGCAGCACAAAGAAAGGAGTCAGTGGAACTAAGGAATTCTTCCATTAAATGAAGCCCACCTACATGAATCCCTATCAAATCTGAGGAATACCAAACAGTGTGAGGATTAATCAAAAGTAGGAAGTACAGAACAAGGGAAAAGAGTGGTCAAAATACTTCTTTAGATGCCCTTGTTTTGGGTTTTTTATAAAATGAAATCATTTGCCGAGCTACAATGGCAACGCCACTTTTGCCGCATATTCACTCCTAGTGCTGTTTTGCTGGATGCTAAGTCTTTTCTTTATTTAGCCGAAATCTAAGCATGTGCAGATCAATACATCAACCCTTTTGGCATTCTGTAAAATTTCTAGGGTTTTTATGTTCAGAAAGGGAATCTTGATAACTTATTGACTCTGCCAGTCCATCAGCTGGGTGGAAGAGGCCAACCAACAGAAGAAGCTCTCCACAATGACTCAAGACATTACCATATCCCTTCGCTGTTAAGAGGCAGCATGTCTCTTAATACCAGTTACTGGTAAATATAAGGAGGTGTCTGCTACTGAGCCCATGTCTTTGCTTGGAGTCCTCCCAGGGGCATCTATTGGCCACTGTGGAAAATAGGATGCTAGGCAAGATAGGCCTTTGACTTAGTCCAGCAGAACCCTTCCTATGTTCATAGGAGCAGCCAAACCTGTGTAGTCAAAATTAGAGGCATTCATAACATAATCCAGCAGATTGCAGAGTGCTGCTTAAGGAGTGAGAGAAGAGTATCCGCCTTAGCTTGGAATTTTTGGACAAGAGAGTTCTGGTCTTTGCCAGTTCTCCCCCTTTTACATATGCAGCTTCTGCGATCACTTGCCAGAACTGCAACACATCAATGGAAGCTGATTCAGTGTCACTTTTATATGAAAAGAACACTCATTCACATGCTCAGTTGTAGCTACTGAATCAGGGAGTTTTCCAAATAACGTGCAGTTCTCAGAAATCTGAGTCAAGCACAAGACCTGCTACCACTACTAATGAATGGGTGGGGGTGCTGACAGTTAGCAATTCACAGCTTCAGAAAGGCCATCCACAAAATGCACACACTGGCATATATGTAATTCTGTGTCCACAGATCTTTCCATGGCATAAGGCCAAGCAAATACACAATTCCTTCTACTGGATTCAACAGGTCCACACCTTCGGTCCTACATACATGTCAAATGTTTGCCGTCCTAAATGCCACCTGCTCACTGTAAATATGTGTGAGCCTCCAAGAGCTTATACACAGGTTCTGCCAAGTTCAGTTAATACAAATTATTTCGTGCACTCACAGACTGCATTCCTACACACACTTAGGTGAAGAGTAAGCCCTATTCAGCTTAATGGGACTTATCAGTGTAGACGTGCAAAGGACTGTGCTGCAAATCTCTAAAGTTTTCATTACCAAGATGCAGTAGTGGTGTTTTTGTTTAACTTTATTTCCAATGAAGCCTTTATGTTTTCCATAATAAAGTTAGTCCCTACCAGCTATTCTGTTTCTCCCCATCCTTAACCATCACATGTCAATGTAGCTGGGGAAGAAAGAAATAGGAAAACAAGAGAGAAATAAGAAGGGAAATAAGAAAAAAAAACCTGTTGTTGTCTTTTGTCTATGCTTCCTGCACTGCAGACAGCTATTATTTTTCTCAGGTAGTCAGAAATACCTTGGGAGCAGAAGAGCAGACCCTAGTCCTTAAAAAAAAAGCCAATAAAGATGATGTATTACTCCAAAACATTCTAGTGCAAGAAGCACTAGGGTCGGAGACAAACTGAAAAAGTCACTTGCATGAAGGTGAACAGATTTTGCCATCTCCTTCTGCCTCTACAGAAATAGCTCTGCTGAACTGGTCACAGGAATGCACCTCTGTTTTAATTTAAACTGATTTGAGTCTGGTAAAAACAAAAATACACTTAAAGGGCTTGCAACATGAAAAATGTGTTATTTCAACATGGCCAAAGGTCGTATAATTAAGTTATCCGCTGTGTATCAATGCATTCAAGTTGTTGCTTACACTTTAAAAGACACAGGAACAACTATTGCCTAGAATCATAGAATCATAGAGTTGGAAGAGACCACAAGGGCCATCGAGTCCAACCCCCTGCCAAGCAGGAAACACCATCAGAGCACTCCTGACATATGGTTGTCAAGCCTCTGCTTAAAGACCTCCAAAGAAATAGAATCATAAATTCCCTCTTCTTAGGGAATTGTTTTCCAGACTGTGTCCCTGCTCTGCTCTGAGGAGCTGAGCTTATCAGCATCGCCACAACAAACCCATTTGAATCCAAATATTTTCAAGCTTCTTTTCTCAGGGCTTGCATTACTCCACGTCTAAGCAATCAGCCCAAATGCCATCAATAACAGCTGCCAGAAGGTCAGGATCACTAAGGACAGTTTAACTTCTCTGGTTTACAATAGTGTCTGATACAAGAGGAAAACTTCTTGTACGTTTAACATGCACTTAAGACTCTTCAGCAGTCCGCCACAAGACCCTCTCACCTCAATCAATTCCTGTTATTGGCATAACAAGTAGCCTTCTTTGTTTCTCTGTATCACACACAGATGGGAGGTCAGCCCGTTCCCAAACGTGTTGCAATGCCTTCTCTTTCTCCTACTCCCCCCCCAAATTCCTATGTGACGTAAGCACAATGCTTGGAGGTTGTCCCTCCCTTCTCCCCAGTAAGTTTCCATTAACTCATCTTCAGTCTCATGTAGGAACTTGCCAACAGCACCAATGAACCACAATCGTGTGTCATACACTTTCCCACATATTGGCATCTTTCCCAACCCAGTTTGACATACTGGGCAGAGACAGCGCTCTCCAGCTGAACAAGGGTTTTTCTAATCAGTCACAAAGCACCACAGCTGCCATGTCAACCACTATTAAGATTTATGGAACCAGAGATGTATTTTCAACTACCATGAACATCTTGGCTGAAAAAAGTGATGACAATCATGGCAGCCCAGGTTGTTAAGTGATGGCAGCAGAACTGGATAGCAAGTGTCTTATTTTCTGGTACCAAAATCTGATAAATTACACATATGTGGAGGGACCTCTTGGCTTGACAATGCAACTACCTAGCTCTGGGTGTTCTCACTGTTAGGCTAGTATAAGGCGCAGGTTTGCCCAACTCAGCCTTTCTTAAGCAGGGGGATATGACAATTCAATGCAAAACTAAGCCAAACAACATTTTGCAATGGACTATCACGACCACGGCTCTGAACTACTTTCACATAACGTGAATCTAGGTCTGAAAGTACTACAGCGTTAAAGGAAATCAGCAAGCCATAAATGTTACACTCACAGCTATGAAAGGTGGGCGGTTTAGCAGTCAAGTAGTGCCCAAGAATTTGAAACAAAGCTGGTAGGTACCAACCCATGCAACTATTTCTCTAGAACTCTATGATGTTTGTCACAACTGCACATCCCACCCAGAGCCATACGTTAATTATGAGACACTGGCGGTAGAAAGAGGCCTAGAAAGAATATCTGATGGGGCTACCACTAGCCCGGCAGCAGTAAGTCAACACAGTGTGAGAAAGTGGCTGAAATCCTACAGCATCACATGACTTTGGTATACCTGCTATTAGATGCCATGAGACTAGTAACAGGATCCCATTGGAAATCTTGAGAGCCAGTGCCGAAAGAGATGTGGCATAACAATAAAAGGAATATAGCTCTTTCGGAAACCTCTAACTTATCAAGCAATTCAAGGAGACACTGAACTCAATTTGTTTGATAAAAAATGGTATCTTTTAGAATACTGTAACTGAATGAAACTTTATTATAATACAATGCCAGGACAATTTTTCATTGTTTGTAGTTGAAATTTTTTTCTTTCCTTATTGTTATTGTAATGGAGGAGGGAAGGGCAGAGGGAAGAATGGTATCCATTTTTTAAGTTTATTAATGGCAGGTTTAGACAGTCTGTAGCAACCCTGTCTTCATCACATGGTTATTTGAAAATACAGGGATATGGTTTGGGGTTTTAGACATACAGTGGACCTAGCATTTTTTGTAATTATGTTGTACTCCATAATACCCAAATTGCACATTTTTTTTTGTCTTTTGTTACTGTAGAAGACATTAATAAACATTTTTTTAAAAAGAGATCAACCGTGTTATCACACTGTGGGGCAAAGCTTGCATCACAAATGGTAAGTAATATATCTACCGCCTGCGGCCCCAAATGCATTGGTCAACAAGTCCACCCCACTTTTGCTACTTAGGGCAGATCCAAACAGTGGCATTTAAAGCACATCCAACACACATTCCCCCCCTCCCAAATCCTGGGAATGGTAGTCTTGGGGGAAGGAATGTGCTTTAAATGGGAGTTGGATGTGCTTTAAATGCATGGGTCTTAGTAACAGAGTCTTGATTTGCCAATCTCACAATGCTTTGAACCTCTTTCCTCCTAAACATAGTGGGGAGAGAAACATAGTGAGGATGTTCTCTCTAAAACAGGGATGGGGAATTTGTAGTCCTTCAAGATGCTGCTAGACTTGAAAGACTTGAATGCCCATCTGCTTCAGTCAGCAGTCAATGATTATGGATAATGGGATCTGGAATCCAACAATATTCCCCATCTCTCATCTAGAACATGTTCAGATAACTTGCAACTGAGGTTATACTAGCAGTCTTTGATGAGCTCAAGAGCTACTCAATTTACACTTTTAATTACTTGTGACCAAAGTGACTGTAGTTCATCTGTACATGTCTAGCAGCTGTTAATTTTTCATAGTTAACTTGATTTACAGTGTTCTTCTTCAGGATTCCCCCCCCCCTGCCAAGTGTGGAAGAGACAGTCCTAACGTTGGAAGATTATGGAAAACAGAAATCAGAACTGTACTTCTTACCATGTTTCCAGTTCCTTTGTATTTTCAGCTATTTGATAACCCTGCAACCATGAAGACTAGAAACTCCTAAGAAGTGAAAAGCTGGGATTGTCCAAATTCTAATTGGCTCCCACTGGCCACACAAGAGCTGTGTGTGCCGCTTGACCATATACTGCCTATATGGGGAAATGTTGTATTAGCATCTAATTTGCCTTTGTGATGAAGCAAGAACATTTGGAATAGCTGTCAAGGCCCATTCTTATTTTGCCTTTGCAGAACAGGTAGTTATATCACATCAGGCAAATGAGGGCACACCTGAACTCTGCCCGAGCCTGTCCAAATCATATGGTACAAACAAAAAATAAAGTTACATATTCAGGTTAACAATGCTGATTTGATTGAGAGAGACAGAAGAAGAAACTGAGCAGGAATAGAAAGAACAAGCCTGAGGGGTTCATGGCAGCAGGACGGGACAAACCAGTTTTTTCATTAATAATGCTGCACTACTTTACAAAATGTGAAGCGGAGCCAATCAGATACTTAAGTTTTTGGAAATTCTACTACTGTTTTAACACTGCAGAGGAAAGCCAATTTCACTGGCTCCTTTACTCTTGTAACACCGGGGACCTGGTTGATTCTCCATGACAAAGATTCATGTATGCATTGGATGAGCAGCTTCAGGAAATATTTGTTTAGATTTACATCCTTCCTTTTTATTGCAATACTTGGAGGGTAATGAATTTACTGGACAACTTTTTAAAGTGTTATATATGCCAATCAACAAAGTAGTAAAATACAACATTAAAAAAGGAGACAACTGCCACAAGTGAATACGTGGATTAGTCTACTGAAAACTCCACATAATCTTCCTGTCACTAAATGGGGCCATTGCAAAAAAAAAAAAAAAAAAAGTGGGGGAGTACATTCCTGTGTATTTGGACCCACCATCTACTTCAGGCCAGGTAGTTAACAGGACTGCAAGTAAAAAGCAGAAGATGACCAGATATTTTGATAACACTCAAGCCGCATGTCAACAGCATCTCTGACTGATAAGGGAGCTGAAGGAATGTTTAAAGATAGTGGCAAGTCTCTGAACAAAAGCTGCTGATAGATCCTAGAGCCTTAATTCAAAATTACCTGAGATTCCCTCAGACCTACTGAAGCGGGGAGGGAACACACCCAAAACTCCAGATCCCCTGGAAGAAGTTTCCCAAGACGGTTTCTTTACTGGTGCATGAAAGGAATATCCACGACAAACGAATAAACAATTTACGACATCGCAGTAACAAAATGAGTTCATATCACATCAATATATGAAGAAGTTATGTTTTCCACAAACTAAATGCAGCACATTAAGAGCAATCAGGCAAAGTAGCAAAGACGTGCTGTAGTACTTCCAGGCAACTCGTACGTAATTATTTCTGTTGCCTATGTCCAACTACAGCAAAATGATGTAGGCTGAACCTGATCTACAAGAAGGTCAAGGAACACCCCTGCCATTTGCAGAAAAAGGCTCATAACACAAAGACATCACCATGAAGGTGCCAGACCCAGCTCTAAGGGGAGGGAATTCCACAAGTTGTGCTTTTGGTCCAAGCAAAAAAGAAAGGCTTGGATTGGTAAGGAGACAGCACAGGTAAATGTTAAATAAACCACAGAGGGAAAGATTAAAACAAATCTATCCCTATCAAAAAGGGAGTTACTATGGAACTCGTTCCCACAGGAGTCAATGGTGACTGCGGACTTGGATGTATTTAAAAGAGGATTAGACCATGGGTAGCCAAACTAAGGCCCAGGGGCCAGATCCGGACCAATCGCCTTCTAAATCCGGCCCACGTGTAGAATGTGTGTTCCATTTAAAATGCATCTCAGGGTTATTTGTTGGGCATAGGAATTTGTTCTTTCCCCCCTCCAAAAAAAAATAGTCCAGCCTCCCACAAGGTCTGAGGGACAGTGGACCGGCCCCATGCTGAAAAAGTTTGCTGACCCCTGGATTAGACAAATTCATGAAGAGCAAGGCCGTCAATGGCTACTAGCCATGATGGTGATGCTTTGCCTCCAGTCAGAAGCAGGAATGCTACTGAACATCAGTTGCTGGAAACCGCAGGAGGGGAGAGTAGCATCTGTTTGGCCCCCGTGAAAACAGGATGCTGGCCTAGAGGGGCCACTGGCCTGATCCAGCAGGCTGTTCTTATCGAGGGATTAAATAAATCAATCTTATTTTATGCACGCTACCACTCCCAACTTCAGAAAGAGGTAGCAAAGTCTCTTTATTAGAGCTGCTAAAATACTGTCACATCCTTCCTAGGAGCAGCGCCGGGAGTCATAACTCAGTTGGAATTATTCTTTTATTCCACTCCATGCACTCTCAGGAACCTTCTCCCACCCCTTCAGATGCAAAATTTCTCCTGCCAAGCCTATACAACACCATTAAGTTAACTGAAACAAGGCTCTCACCACCCCACAACGGTTTTGCATAGTCTTAGCAAACATATTCTAGCGAGTGTGTATTCGGCATGGTCAAAGGTCAAGAGGCAAGGGTGTTTACCTGAGAAATATCTACCTGTAAAGGTGTATTATGGTTGGCGGGAGAGGAGGAGCAAAAGGGAAAACACACACACACACACACACACACACACACACACAAAAAACCCAACCCAAGGTCTCCTATTGTCAGAGAACAACCGAGAAGGAAAATTATCAAATCCAGACCTACAAGAAAACTCCCGATTTGTACCATGACAGAGCCCTGGGGATTTCACTTAATGGGTTCTGCATGACGTTAGGGAATTGCAACAGAGCCAGGCTTTCGGTCAGCGGTTACTCATTCCACAGCTATGAGCGAGAGGAAGTGCTAAATAAGGCAGCGGGGCACGTTATTTGCCAAAATGTCCTGGTATTTGGAGACTTGAGATGAGAGGGTAGGAGAAAGGGAGGGAGGGAGGCGAGGAAGCCGCAAGGCAAGTCAAGAGGATGACGAAAGCCAGCGGGCGAGCGGGCGCAAGGGGAGCAAAGTGGGGAATAGAGTAAGGGTCGCCTATCCCACCCACCCCATCAGCCTCACTGGAATAAGAGAGGGGGGAAAGCGTTAAGCAGCCGCCAGGCGTTTGAAGTGGGGGGGGGGGATACTCCACTGTTAACTAGGGGAGGGGGTCAAGTAGCGGTGGAAGAGGAAAACAACAAGCGAAAACGGACTGGGAGAGGGAGAAGGAATGTGCATGCTCCTCGCTTCACGGGGGGGGGGGGGGAGTCTCATTCCCAGCTCCCATCCATAGCTCCAGGGATTTGGAGAGGGGCGTGCATGGGGTAAAACAAGGGGGGAAACCAACCCCATCCCACTTTCCCAAAAAGAGCCAGCAGAATTTCGTCCCAACGTTAGAGGGGACAGGCAGGCAAGCAGGCGACCTCCGTTGCCCCCCCGCACCCCGTTACCGCGCCCGCAGCAGCAGCACCAGGAAAGATTAAGGAGAAGTAAGCGCACGTTTCAAAGTCCCGTTCCCAAAGCAATGGGGGAGGGCGAGGGAATGGGGCGGTTTGCAGACTCTCCCTCTTCGCCCCTCGTGCAAAAGTTCACAAGTTAGCGTGTGCGACGGAAGGGGGGGGCGCGGCAGAATCAACACATTCCAATTATTCCCCGCTACCGATTCCCCCCCCCCCGCCCCCCGCTTCGGAAAATACCAAGCCTTGCCTGCCTCCTTACAATCGCGCGCGCCCGCTACCAAATCAATGCCGGCGACTCCCCCGCGTCCGCCACCCCTTCTTCCCGGGACGCCCCGAAGCGACTCACCGACTCGGCGGCGGCGGCGCCCAGCAACAAGAGCAGCAGGAGAGCGGGGGCGCACAGGCCGGCGGGGCGACTGGGCTTCATGGCGTCGTGGGGTCCGCGAAGGAAGGCGCAAGAGCAAAGGCTGGTCCGGTGGCGGCGGCGGCGGCGCGGTAACCAAGTGTCCCGTCCTTCCCCGCCCCGCCGCCGCTCAGCTTTCTTATACGCGGCCTGGCCCGGCCCTCGGGAGGAGGAGTCGCCGAAGCTGCGGCCTCCGCTTGCGAGGAGGCGGCGGCGGTGACGACGAGGGGAACTCCCCCCGGCTTGAACTCGGGCTTCTCCGAGCGCTTTCGCACTCAGTACCTTTCGCTTGCTTTAGGTTGACAGCAAAGCAACAGAAAGTTAAGTTGAGCTAATGTTTGTTTTGTTTTCAATACGTCATTGTTGATTTTAAGTGAGAAATACACAGTTCCAATGATACGGACAAGGGCGCCAACTTGAATAAAATATTGGGGGGAGAGAGGTAAACCGTTCATAATAATCGATCACAACACACACACTCCATTTGAATGGTGGTGCCCATGAACGGGGGGAAGGCCCCTCAGTTATTTTATTGGGGAGCTGAAGGGACCTTGGCCCCTAGGAGTTGGCTCCTATGGATACTGACGCTCCAAGGATAAAAGGCCTCGTATATAAACTAGTAGGTATTTCGCATGCATAAATCGTTGCAACCTGAGTCCAGTTCGAAGGCTAGTTCTGAATAAAAACATAGCCCCCACTCCCTTACACACAAACATGCACTGTTGGAATGGGAGGCAGGTGAAAAATGTGAAAAAGGGAAGCCACAGATTGCCAAAATTATCCCATTTCCAACTCTACAATTCTATGATTCTAACCCTCACTGCTCTCTGTGTCTCCAAGTTGAACACTTCCCAAACATTGTTGATGCGGTTGTGCAGAGGACTCTCCTTTTCTGTTTTCCAATGTTGCATGATTACAAGCCGTGCTGCAGTTAACAGAAACTTGAGCTAATGTTTTAATTTTTTTTAAAACTGAAAGGTTATATTCCACTCATGCACGCCATACATTTAAAGCGCATGGCTTCCCGCAAAGAATCCTGGGAACTGTACTTCAACTCTCACAAAGCTACAATTTCCGGCACCCTTAACAAACAACAGTTCCCAGGATTCTTTGGGATTGGGGAAAACACGTGTTTTAAATGTGTAGTGTGGATATAACCACAGAGCACCTCAGATTTTTGCCACTTGTCAGCCTGGGTGCTTAATGCTGAGTGATGACCCGTCACCACAAGGATCTGCAATTGGACCTCAAAGTGTGTGAGGTGCCTCAAAACAACCCACAAGGCCCTCCTAAGAATTCCACCTCTAACAACAACCCTATAGGTACTCATTTTCCAGACAGGGAAAGGCTGAGAGACCTTGTTTCCTGATGTGCCAGGCTGTGGGACAGAGGGAAATTCCAGAGGTGTGATGGTTCCTCATCATCGACTTGCAATGATGGGAAAATTTGGCACTTGAGTAGGAAGTGGCAACTCTACACAGCACATGATTGATAGCTGCTGATAGGCAGCCTATGGAGGTTGCAGCCAACCCACATCAGGTTTTAGCAAAAGAAGATAAATAGCAGATACAGAGAGTACAGAAGATTCCAGATGTGGAGTCCAGTGTACATAATTTCCCTTTCCTAAAATCCCAGGCAGATGTCTTTTAAAAAAAATTCTGCTCCATACAGCGTGAAACAACCCTAAGAGAGTAATTTGCCTGAGGCAGGCTGTGACCGAGGTGAGACTACCCATCAGCGACTCTTGCATGGGGATGTAATCTGCTCTAGAGGTGTATACCTAATTATAAAATGCCCTTGCAATCTGCTTTACATTCGATTGACCACACGAGCGGTCGGTGTCTCTATAGGAGAGCATTGATCCCGCATTAGGAATCAAATCATGGAAGCACTTCTAGCTGAGCACTTTGTGAAACACCATCATACAAATACAGACCTATTTTACACAGTCCTTTGGGTTAATCAGAGAGAATTTGGGATGAGGAGAGATTACGTCAAATTACTACACCAACAAGAAACTAGATTGATTTACCTATTTAAATCCCTACACCCAGGGGGCATTGAACACTGAATTAGACTTCAATTGTTTTATTTAAGTTTTCTGACAAGATGGCTACTGTTTGTATTCTCTGTGCTAGATTTTGGATACTGTACCTTTAAATTTCCTGAAATTGTATGTGATTCAGTGCACCTGTGGGTAGCCTTTATAATGCTACTAGGGTTATGCCTACAGTATCAGCTTATTACACTTTCAAGTGATTGCTCATCCATTGCTACTTGATGTACCTGTAGGGACAATTTATTTGGTATGTATTTATTATTTATTATTGTTTGTATATATACAGGTCTGTCATTTCAATTTCTGTATTGTATTTGAATTTAATGTATTTCAATTTCTGTTATTGTCAGCTTATGAAGAATCATTATTGAAAGAGTTCGTTATCCGGAAAAACTGTTCTATGTTTGGCGCACCTATCACCGCATATTTGCAGGATTTTGAATGTTGAAAGGCATTTTGCCTCCATCTCAGTGTTCCTTGATACTGACCGACTACACCTTCTATTTTTGTTCATTGAACATTTATTTGACTCCTATTATTTGTGACTCTCATATATTTTCTGTTTGTGAATTGTGTATAAATACTTTGTTAACACATTATTAGCCGCATGTCGCTTGGGGTTGTTCTAGAGGAGTATAAACAGATTCCACTACTAGTGCCTTCTGAATTCTTTGTGCCTGCTGTTGATCCAACCATTTTAGGAACATAAGAAGTTGCCTTATACAAAGTCAGGCCATTGGTCCATCAAACTCAGTATTATCTCTACTGATTGGCAGTGTCTCTCCAAGGATTCAGATAAAAGTTTTTCCCTAGCCTTACGTCTAAGCATCAGAGATTGAAGCTGGGGGTTTCTGCATTCAAACGCATGAACCAGGTATGGCAGGGGGCTGCAAATACTCTTCTTTGTGCATGAAAAGATTGCCAAAGGGTGTGCATGTTTGTCTGTTTTCTCCAAGGCTCATGGAGAGCAAAGTGTTCTGGGCTAGGACTGTTCCTGTAGATATGAACTTCAGGAGAAGAATGGAGGGAACCATGAGGTGTAGGGAAATATCTAGGTTTCCTTAGTGGGGGTCAGTAATAACAAGGTATGAATTAACATGCAGTTATTGCGTACAAGGTGGCAACCCCAGTGCAGAAGCCACCACAAAGGATTCAAACGCAATACAAGCCTTGTTTCCTTTCTGCCTAGCAGTTTCTTTTCAAGACAAGTTAACTAAATGATTTAACTATTTCGGTCTCTACAGAGGCAGGGTGAAGCAGCAGCCTTAGGCAGCGGAAGGGCAAGAGGTAGAACCCTGTCTACCCCCATTGCTTCTGCTGCCACCAGGAGACACCTTTAGTTGAGCACTTTGTAAAACATCATCATGCAGACACAGACCTACTTTACACAGTCCTATGGGTTAATCAGAGAAAATTTGGGATGAGGAGTCAAATTACTGCACCAACAAGAAACCAGACTTACTTACCTATTTTTAATCTCTGCACCCAGGGGGTTTGAATACTGAATTAGATTTCAATTGTTTTATTTAAGTTCTTTGATAAGATGGCTACTGTTTGTGTTCTGTTTGCTAGATGTTGGGTACTGTAGCTTTAAATTTCCTGAAATTATATGTGATTCATTGCACCGGTGGATAGCCTTTATAATGCTACACTTTTAAGTGATTGCTGATCCATGGCTATTTGATGTACATTTGGGGATAATTAATTTGCTATGTATTTATTATTGGTTGTTCATATGCAGGCCTGTCATTTCAATCTCTGTATTGCATTTGAATGTAATGTAATGTATTTCATATCATTTCCAGCTGATGAAGAATTATTATTGAAACAGTTCATTATCCTGGAACAATTGTTCTGTTCTGTTTGCAGCTGTGCTGGGAGTACCCTACTGCTACGTTCGGAGCACCTATCTAAGATATTGACTGTGGAAAGGCTTTTTGCCTCCATCTCGGTGATCGTGGACAGTGACTTACCACGCCTACTATTCTTGTTTATGGAACATTTATTTGATACCTATTAATTGTGACTCCATGCACATATTATACGTCTGTGTATGAATTTTTGAAACAGTATAATGTTATAAAGATTTTGTTAGTATTTATTAGCCAATGTGTTGCTTGTTGTTGTGTAGAGTGTTCTGTTTTGCAACACGGGATTTTCTTTGGTGTATTAGGCAGCAGAAGGGCAAGAGGCAGCACCCCTCTGCTTCCACTGCCACCAGAAGACATCCTGCTCCATGGCTGAGTTTTGGTGAGAGGGAGGTGTTCCGGCACATGGTGTTGCCATTTGTCTTCCCCATCTCTGGGGCAGAGAAGACGAGCTGCAAAGCCTTGTGGAATGCCCCACTCTTGCTGAGTTTCAGCGCAGCATGGCGAGGGGAGCTAAGGAGTGGTGCATTCCTGTCTCACCTCAGATGGCGAAATGGGCTGGGCCACCCCTGGAGGGGAGACACACAAACTCCCCTAAATGTTAAAAGAAAAGGGTAAAAGGTGATCCTCAAATAGCAGGGCTACTCTTTGACAATCAATCAATGTTCCTGCACATGTGTACAAGTGGGATTGCAGGAGGTTTGTAGTGAGGTTGCACAAGATACCAATGCATATCAACTAAGAAATTTCAGAATTAAAGGCAACAAGGAAACAAGTTCACAAAATGGCAGGGACTGCAGTCGCCAGTAATAAATTCACGGGGAGCTTCTATAATAGGTGCCCATATCAACAAACAAAAATCCATGACGAGCACAATGGAAAGTGATGGGTGAGGTATAAAGTTTTCCAAAGTACAAAATACTGTAGTGAGTGCTTGGAAAATGCCATTTCCCCAGAAGCACAACCGCAAGGGAAGCTGAGCGGGTAGTGTCTATCCAAATCTGTAAGTAATGCACACTTACTGTACAAAAGGCTGATTGTGTAGAAAAGGTCGTCATCTCCCTTCCTGGTCTTCCCTCTTTATTTCCATTAAACTACCTTTTCCATCTTTCATGCTGTGAACGCTGCCCTTTAGAAGAAGCCTATTTGTATTTATGTTGCGCTGTGCAATTTGTTGCCAGTAAACAAGTAATAACCAATTATAACAAAGGGGTGAGCCGGAGTTAATGTTGACAATAGTTCATTGGGAAATTAAAAAGGGCTGCTCACAATGGGAGGTTCAAGGAAGAAGAAACAACAAGAAACAACAGAAAATACATAGCAGATGCTTCCTTGCAAGTACTTTTTGTCTGCACAATACTATCCTATCCACACATCTGAAACAGTTCACAAAGGCTGTTTGTTAAGGGTTATTCAGTTGTGAATTTAGGGACTCCCTTCAAACCTCCTATTTCATGGACATAATCCCATACTACTAACATAACTATTTCCACATCCTGATATAAATACAGTACTCTGATTACTTAGCTTCTACTAGCAGGCAATATATCTGTGGATGACAGAGCAATGTCTACATTGAGTGCAGTGGGACTTACTCCATGAGAAGGATAGGTATATATAGAACTGCAGCCTTAAGTTGTGTACAGTGGTACCTTGGGTTAAGTACTTAATTTGTTCTGGAGGTCCATACTTAACCTGAAACTGTTCTTAACCTGAAGCACCACTTTAGCTAATGGAGCCTCCTGCTGCTGCCGCACCGCCGGAGCATTATTTCTGTTCTCATCCTGAAGCAAAGTTCTTAACCTGAAGCACTATTTCTGGGTTAGCGGAGTCTGTAACCTGAAGCGTATGTAACCTGAGGTACCACTGTACACATTATAGCTTTAAAGAAACATTCCTGCCCCTTCTCAAAGAATTCTGGGCACTGAGGTTTGTTAAGGCTTGATGAGAGTCGTAACTCTGTGAGGGGTAAACTACAGTGCCCATAATTCTTTGAGGGGTGTGTGTGGTTTGAATGTGCTTTAATTGTGTGAACGAAGCCCTAGTCTAGTGGTTTGGGGCAGCAAATCCATGTGCAATGCACCAATCTGTTAGGTTAGGATCTTCATGCACATGCTTGTAAATGGTAAACAACCATGACAAGAAATGGGGAATATGAACCTGAGTGCTCAATGCCAAAGAAGTGATTAGCTCTAACAATGCATGTTTTGTGCTAGGAATGGGGGCAGAATCAAGCAAGGAGTTCTGTAGCCCCAGATGTTTGTGTGTGCTTAATCCTACACACAACCTTTTTGCATGCCCAGGACGCCACTGAGGGGAATCTGTGTGCAGATCATCTTTGCTCAATCAGAGTGGATATGTTTTAATCAGGCTAGCTGCACCGTTCATCAATTTCGATTCATAAACTCAAACCTTCTGGTTGACTAAAATGCTGACCTCGTTCAATAATGTGAAATAAAATCCTTACCATGGCAGATGTCATTCTAGAAGAGGCATTCCTCCTTTTGTCCCAGAATGAACACCTCTTTTAAGATACTGTGGCATTCATAAACTAAAATACTCTTATCTATTCAGAACAATTCGTATTCAAATCTAAGCAAATTTGCTCATAGTTTGAAACTCATCTGACTTAATTAACTGTAAAATCCTGTGCAAATTTCATTAGGAGTAAATACAGGGGACACAATTGGATTTGCTTCTGGGTAAACATGCATAGGATCAGGCTATAAGATTTATTTAATTTGGTGACAGTTCAGGTTTTAGGTGTATAGAGGTTTTTTGATGACTCATACCAAAACTAAAAACTTCATAAGGCTATTAAGTCATTTTCTCTTGGTCGATTTAGTGGAAAATGCAATGGCAACTAATAAAGCCAGGCTAGAAGATGGAAAGTGAAATAACGACTACCATACTTTAATTTATCCTGTATAGTGAGAAAATGTTAATTTTCTTAAAGGAAGAACAAGGCGCCTGTTATCATCATAACAGTTTTTATCTGATCATTGTTCAGTTAAACTCAGCAGAATACTTTGTCTAATATTCTGTAAGGTCTAGTAAACAGATTTCACTTTGTAATTTTATAGCCCATTGTTACTTTTGACAGTCTGATCCTTGTTACTTGCCTTGTTATGTATGCTGCCTTTCCTGCAAGGGCAGGCTGAAGGAGTGTAACTGGTTCAAGGTCACCAAGTAAGATTCATAGCTGAGTGGGAAAAAAATTCTCCTTCTGTCTCCTCCCTGAACTGCATGATGTTGCTTTAATGTTTCATGGCGCAGCTCTGATGACAGTTGACACCTGGTGCTATCAATGTGGTTGTTGATTAATGCAACTAAACTGTCGCCCCAGACCTCAAAGTCCTAAACCTGCTTAGTCCCCCTATGGCTAGTAGGATTAATATCAAATAATGATTTCCTGCCAAATAGTTTTCTGTAGACTTCAGTAGCCTGTACATTTACAGACTGGGATAAATCTCTGCGACATGAATGAGGAAGCTGTATCTCTGTCCTCATGTTGTAGAACTCCAATTCCTATCATAGAGTTGTAGAGTTGGGTCATGTCCAGCCTTCTGCAATGCAGGAATCTTTTGTCTGATCACTGACCATTCTGGCTGAAGCATAGGAGCTGTGTTTGCTTAGTTAAGTTGGAAATCAACTATCTAGTAGAAACTACTACCAAAGTTTAGAAATATAGATATATACGCACACATTTAATAAAGGGGAAAGAAGCACTAATTAACTACAAAAATAGCTAAATTCAAAATTTATTAAATCTTATATATTATAGTAGCATACAATCAATTCCTGTCCCAGCTAAATCCAGGATGGCTTTTTTTTTTTCATATTCCACAGCTGGTTTCCAACTATTTAGTACATCTTTACCTAACCTTTTAAACATAATTTTCAGTTTAATTATCCCCAGTTGTCCCTATATTTTCCCAAGTGTTTCTTATTGTCTTGCCTTCCAGGCATTTGCATACAAAATTCTTGCCAAGCTTAACATGTATTAAAGCCTGCCTTTGAATTTCTTCTGCTAGTATTATTTCTGCTGCTCCCTGCAAGGCCCCCAAAGCAGGGTAGGGAATTAGAATACAAAAGGAGCAACATACAAATCCATTAATCTAATCAAGAAAAGAAAAGAAAAAAGAAAGAAAGAAAGACAAAATAGAACATTTCAGAGATAATAGGAGGCAGACAATACCAGGAGATAAGACAACCTAATTATCATAAAAAACAGTAAAAAAGGAAGGTCATTCAGCAGATATCTCCACTCTTGGGAAAGCTGCAAACATTCACTTCACATAGCAATTATATTAAATGTGTGGTGTGTACGCAACCAGAAGTAGTTTAGTTTAGTTGTAGTTTAGTTGTTGTATCAATCTCACTTTTCTATTAAAGTAATGCCTGAAGAACATTACAATAATATATATATACATACAATAGGTTGTAGCCAACTAAGTTTTATTCAGAGTTGACAGACTGAAATTAATGGACCTATGTTAGTCATGTTCATTAATTTCAATGTGTCTTCTCTGAGTAAGACTAGCATTGGCTACAACTCAACATAACAATCAGCATTAATACATTAAAAGATAACAATTGTGCTAGATTCGCTGGGGCTGCAACAAAATGTTGCAGTGTGTGATGATGCTTGTTCAACCACTCCATTCCATTTCCCCTTCTCTCATCTTCCTCCTTTCCCACCATTCACAGAACTAAAATTCAGCTCCTGTCTATAGACAACGTTGGGTTGCAACAGCATTATTTTTAATCACGTACAATATAATCTTATTAGCAAAGGGTTTTTGTTCCCCTTTAATATTTGCATTCAAACTGAAAGTGCACACACCTAGGTTGCTCTGGTCTGTGACCACAATGATGGTTTTGTTTTTGTTTTTTTAAGTCTCTGGCTTGAGGTCACTGGGGAATAACGAAATGCTGGTGTGTTTCCTGACCTCACAGTATTTGCATGAATTCAGCAACGTTTCCTGAACATGCACTGAAGTTTTTTTCTCACCATTTGCAAGCTGAGACCATTCTGGGTTGCATCGATTCCTACCATGTGGTTTTCATACTAAGAACATGATTACCGCTTTTCAGTCGTACACAGCATCTGGTCCCTGAAAGGTTTCCTTACGATAAACTGGTATTCTTACCTTGCTTCACAATGCTGGAAAAATCTTATGGCCCAGTTTACACATCACAGTAAGCCACAGTTAAGAAATGCTCAGATGATT